TCCTTTGAATGCCAAGCATTCAAACTCTGCAGAAAGTACAACTCTGATGGGCTGGCCATATTTTTCAAATGCCAAATGCACATTTGCTAAAAGACTATTTTGCAGGGAACTCACACAAGGCAAACACATGCTGGTCAGAAGAAGAAATACAAGGACAAACTCAAGGTCTGTCTGAAGAACTTTAGAATCATTTACATGACATGGGAGACACTGGCACAGGACCACCCAGCATGACACGCCCCTATCGAAGAAGGTGCTGTGCTCTATTAGCTCAATATAGCTCAAAAGACACCCAAGAGGCACAAATTTAGAGAATCCACCCCAAATGTTCCCGTGGACTATTTGTGCCTGACTTGTGGTAGAGCCTTCCGAGCTCGTCCTGGTCTGATCAGCCACAGCTGGACGCCCTGTGCCTTGAGCCCAACAAAGTGATGTCACAAAGGACACCAATCTCTCCCTCCAACATTGCAGATGTCCTCCTCTCCACGTCTGTCCTTTCAGAAGCTCCCAGTGCTTTCTCATTATGTTCAATTCTTACCTCTCTTCTGTAATAAATCTTTCATAAAGTATTCACTCGACAATCCTCTTTTTGTTATATGACAAATTATGGGTGACTGTTAGCCCCTCCTCTCACGACGCATGACTGGCCCACCTCCTTTTCTTACCATATATTTCCTTCATAATGTCCTTTGTGCCATTCCTAGTACGTGAGCCTTTGTTGGCAACACACTGTGGCTTTGTTGAATCCACCATACATCAATTCATCACCCTTCAGTCACCTGGAATTTTGATTGTTTGGAAATTATGATATCTATAGAGCGAGGTGGTCCAGTGGATAGAGTCAGAAAGACAAGTTCAAATCCTGCCTCAGACACTTACTACACTTACTACACACTTACTTGTGTGACCCTGGAAGAGTCATTTAACCTCTCGGGGCCTTGATTTCTCCATCTGTAAAGTGGGGATAATAATAGCACCTAACTACTGATGTTCACTGTGAGAATCAAATAAAATGTTTGCAGAGCACTTTGTAAATCTTAAAGCACTATATAAATGCTAATTACCATCATCATCATTATTAATTTATAATCACTGTGCTCATTTTAACAACACATGCAATCAATCAGCTAACCAATAATCACCTGGCGCTGTGCTGGGTACTGGACACAAAGACAAAGACAAAGCAGGCCCTGGCCTAAAGGAGCTTTCGTTGTACCTGGGGCCAGAGGGGGAGGATTGGAACGATTGTGGCATTAATTAGCATTAGCTGTGTCACTCTGCAGGGGCTTGTGGCTCCTGCCAGGTGTTGCCCATGGATGTCCTGGGCAGAGGACAAACGTGGCTCTCAGTGTCTTCTGTGTAGGTCAAGGACCCCTTGCAGAGGTCTACTGAAGCCTCCAGATCCTTAGAATGACTTTAAATGCAGGAAACAGGGGATTGCCAAGGAACCCAAAGGTTAGTGAAAAATAAAGATGTATTTTCCACCATCTGTGTTCCCAGACTCCCTAAGGGTCTGTGAATCCAGGTTAAGAAGCCCTGGCCTAGATGCTGAGGTCTTCAAGACATTCATGCTTGAGATGGGGATTGTGCTGGCTGCATCACTTCTCCAAGCAAGTCCTATTTTGGAGAGGTCATGGTTAAAACTGGGATTTTTGTCTTTGTTTTTTACCATAAAAACCCACAGAAATCCTCAACAAGACCTAGAGCTGCTCAAAAGTGATAGGCCTCATAATACTCAAAGGAAAGAAAGTGGGTGAAGAAAGCCTCTTACTTACAGTTATATAAATATATAAAAGACATATTATAATAATACATATTATGATAATATATAAATCTGCCTGTGTCTCTGGGAAAAACTCAGAGTTGAACAGGAGGAAGAGTGTGGTGAATTTCCCTGAGAAAATTGTAGTAGAGCTCTTTCAATGACTCCCAACTGTTACCTGACTCAAAAACGTATCTTTAAAAAAAACAAAACACAATATATTCTCATTGGTAAAAAATACTTCTGTTAATTGCAAAGACCAAAACAAACAAACAAACAAACATCCACCAGGACACTTCCGGGAAAACTGTGTCAAGATTAAGGAACTCCTCCCAGCTCTGACAAGATTCCTGGGCTGTAACTAAAGTCCCCACTGGAAGAGGCACAAGGCAGAGAGCAGAGTGCCTTTTTGAGAGTAGGTTAAGGAAAGCATCCCAGACAAAAACAAAACAAATCAAAACCAAAAAAACCCAAACCAAACAAAAAATCTGCATAGAAATGACTCTATTAAAGATTCATTCCTTTCCGTTAACTAGCTCATCTTGTAAAATGCAAATATAGAGGTTCACATTAAACTTAATCATATATTTTTTTTTCTCAAGACGTGCTGAGATCAGCTACCCCGAGGGAATGGGACTTTTTGCTGGAGAAGGGAAAGGAAAGTTGGGGAAAGGGCATTGCTCCTGAGAGCAGGCTTGCAGGAATAGGTCCCGAGGAAGACTCCCGACATCTGTTAAGCACTGGGTCTCTGACATGTGAAGAAGGGACAGAAGAAGGTAAGAAAAGGCCCTTGAAAGACAAACTCTCCAGTCTTCACAACTTTGCATCTGATTGGTCCTAATCAAACAAATGCTTATTCTTTGACCAGTCCAGCTAAGGCTCTTCCCTGGGACATTGAATCTCTTTACGCCTTAACAACTTTATTAATAACGAGCCCACCCCCCTCTAGCTTAATAACAGTTACCAACTCAAGGCAGAAAGCATCACTTTTTTTTTTTAATTGAAACTTTCCACTGGGGTAAACTGGATCAAATCAAGTCTTCTTTTCGGTTCCAATCCAGGCCAGGCACCAGCCTGGAGGTGCTTGTCGGGAAAGGAGTCAAGCAGAGATGAGGTGAGCTGCTACCTGAAGGAGATGCAGCAGCAGATTCCAGCTCTGAGTGCAAGTCTGGACAGGGGAAATCTTGGAGGTTCTTTCCACAATAGTCGTGGCCACAATAGTCTGTTTCATTTTTTACCATTAATATCCTTTTTTTTTTTTTAAACCATGTAAACCTGTGGACATCCCTAACAGTCTCTGACACCCGTTAGTTTAAAGCCAAAAATCCACCCTTTATTTTAGATCAAACAGGAAGATTGGCACTACAGAGTGGGCCCTTTCAATACACACTCTGCTTGCATGTGCCTGAAGATGTAGCCAGGGGACTGATGAACATTTTCAACCTCTTCCTGGCAGAGAATAACTGGAGAACTAAGAGAAACCAAACACTAGAGAGTGATTGGAGAAACAAGAAATTAAAGTGTGGTTTTCACAGCCTGGATTAAAAGGCTGTGGGTAATGACCAACCTAACCGACTTCTCTTACCAGTCAAACCAACTTTCTGTAAACAACAAGAAAAATTCCCAGCTTTCCCCTGTACCATTTTTTTCATTTAACAACACCTTGATTTCCTTGTTATCACTATTTAAGTTCTTTAATTGCTTCACTGAATCAAAGGCAGGAGGGGATGAGACGACAGCTGCCTGGCCCACTCCCTCTTTCCCAGCTCAGTATCTATATTAATTTCCTCTTGCCTGAAGATCTTTCTCCTTTATGTACACGTGGACAATCAACTCCATTAACATTCAGGATAGACATGAAGGTCCATGTTGCCAGATCAGAGAGAGCTTGGTGCATAGTAGGCACTATGTTAAGTGAATGAAGACCTCTCCGTGAGGTCATCTTGTCCACATCATTTAATACCCTAAAATCTGTAGAGATGATTGTGTGTACAAACTATACTGTCAGATCAGATATCAACATGTTAATGATGAAAAAAAAAAAAGATCTCAAGTCCTTTTCCCCTATATACCCAGCCAAAGGTACATTTCCCAATTGTTTCTCCCTTCCATGCTAAAAGAAAAAAAAAAAAAGAACAAGATCAGGACACCTGAGATCCTATGATATACTGCCTCATATGTGCTCAATTTGTTGGCATCAATGAAACAGAAAGGCTCATTATACCCTGAGGAGGCTAGGCAGAGAATCAAGAACAATCACCATAGAAGTTTTTTTTAGGTAATTTTAGATAGCAGATTATGACCTACAGGAATCTGTCAACTATGGTTTGGATGTACAGAAATCACAAACATGAGTTGAAAATTGAATTTTCCCATTAATTTTAATGGGCTCAGGGCAGCTAGGTAGCGCAGTGGATAGAGCACCGGCCCTGAAGTCAGGAGGACCTGAGTTCAAATCTGGCCTCAGACCAAACACTTGACACTTACTAGCTGTGTGACCCTGGGCAAGTCACTTAACCCCAATTGCCTAAAATAAAGAATAATAATAATAATAAAAATAATAAAAAAATTTATAATGGTCTCCTTCAAAAATCCAAATTGGTAATGGAATCCAGGAATTTTATATATTTCTATTTAGGGTAACTACTCAGTATAAATGATTTGCTTTTACTAGGCTACTAATTAATTTTTATAAATTTATTGATAGAAATGAAATGACTCCAGACACAGCTCTGTTACAAATATAACAATCCCAGTGCAAAAAGCCCAGGCTTCTTCCCCAAAACGGTGGGTAGCAAAACCCTGCATGTAAAGCCCAGGGTGAGAAGGGACAATTGGTCCTCCCTCCAGGTACAGATGCTGCACTATTTATGGCCCACTATTTATGTGTAGTCAGAGGCGGGAGGATGGGTGACCAAGGGGTACTCACTGGGATTCACCATTCCCAGGTCCACCGCACCAGAAAGCAAAGCTCTCTGCTGACTGCTGAGCACATCTGCGAGCTGGCACTCAAAGCCAGATGACTGATTTTCTCCTTGGTCTGAATGAACACACATTCCTGAGCACAAAAGAGATGATTAAGCAGAACAACACCTTGTTTTTTGGTGGAGTTAGCCGCAGATACATTACACATCCAGTGACTTATTGGTCTTTCTCATTTTTAATTGAATTATCAATTTCAGTACCTTCAAGAGGAAAAAATAACATTTTTCATTTACTTTCTATTCATACAGTACTACTCATTAGCTCTACCAAAATTCCTCTATAAAGAAGAGGGCTCAGAGAACAGCCCCTGCAGGGTACAGATGGGCAAACTGAGGTTCTTGTTGGAAGTCACTCCACATTGGAACTGGAGATAGAGCCCAGGCTTCCTAATTCCTCAAATTTCTGTTGTTGACTTGGGACTGGTTGGCAGAAGAGAGCAACAGGTCAGGTTTGAGCAACTTTACAGGAGGGTTACATTTCTGTCTAGAACTTAGTTTGATCCTGGCTGAGATCTAACTCATAAAACTGATTGACAATAGGCAGAACAGCACCGCACACATCCTATGCAATTTAATTTGGTGGGAATTCTAGCTAAGAGATCAGGCTCCTGGCCCACAGGTTACAACAAGTTAAGGCATCTCCTGGTAGTCTAGGTGCCTGGCTTTTCTCTTTTCAGAAGGGCAGCTATGATACACACACACACACACACACACACACACACACACACACAC